CTACACCCCAAAAAACCATCAAAACACCGAAATACGGCCTTTCTACGGTAAAATCCAGGTTTTGCCACAAGGACACTAATTTCCGGCCGCTAGGATCTTCAGGCAGGGTTTTGGGTGAAGTACGAAGCCTGTTGCAAAAGGGTTTTGGGTTTCGGGTTAGGGGGGCAGGCCACGAGCATGCACATTCAGCTGGCCTGCGGCCACTCCAGGACACCTGAGTAGGCATCCAAGTGGCGTTTCCAGAACCTTACCGCCTGGTAAGGACTCTGCAAAAGGGGTACCTGCCTTCATCACCCAAGATGTCCACCTTTCTGTAGACGAAAACAGAATGACAAGTGCCAAGAAGCACTTAGCCGCGAATCCCTTCATGGTCCTTCATGGTCTGAGAAACAGGCTTAAGTGCTCCACCCTCAAAATCTGAACTTCTGATGGTCATGTGGCTACTACTTGAGAGTCAAAGTGTGCAGTGGTCCAGTCCAGGCCACGCAGCTGCTCGGCAGTGCAATTGCAGGAGGCCTTTGTTTCTTCTGGCGCTGTTGCACATGACATGGTTCTTTTTTTCTGCAGTGGGGTGCCGCCCATGTACTATAGGGTCGGAATTCCCTTAGGGTCCCTATATAACTTAACCATGCTGCAATCATCCACCTCTTCTATCAAGGGGCCCTTAACATGCCATCTTGCAGGCTGAAGTCCTAGCCTTCAGAGTCGGCCCTTTGTGAAAAGCCCTAAATTCCCCAAAAGCTGCTTGGCAGCTGCCTTAGGGTTTAGGGTTTAGGGTTTAGGGTCTGGCCGGCAGATGATCCAGGATCGCTCTGCACATCCTGGCGACCGCGAACGGCGCGGACGCGGAGAGCTTCCGCGGCCCGGCAAGTTTGAAGGGACGGCTCCGTGAAGTGCTAGAGTCACTAGAAATATATATATATATATATATATAGAGAGAGAGAGAGACCTAGTAGTAGAGTAGGTAACCTTTAACCTTTTTGGGGTAGTATAATCCCCTTGTAGTCCCAAAGGTTAACCTTGAAGCAACCCTTAAGAACCCTGGGTTCCAAACAGCCCGAACCCCTCACAAAGTCTTATACAACCCTAGGCCCTGAGCAACTCTCAACCCCGAACACCCCCAACCCTGAACCCTAAAGCAGCCCTACCCCACGAAGGCCGGGAGCACGTCAACATGATGCGCGCGACGACGACGGAGACGCTCCTGGATTGGATGCCTGGTGCGCAAAAAAAAGAAGAGCGAATTGTGGGGCTTGTTTAGGTTTTTGGGTTGAGGGTTTCGGGTTTTCGTCCAGATGCAAAAAGGGCTTAGGGTTTGAAAAAACCCGAGCCCTGGACGCACAGCAAGAAGTTAATTAGGGCTTAGGGTATAGGGCTTATTGGGCGTGACTAAAATTGCCGCCTTTACAAGGAGCCCGATGCTACAGAGGTATCGAAGAGAGGACCAAACCTCACTGCAAGACTGCCCCTCTTGCACGTCTTAAAGTATCCCTTGAAGCACCCCGAATGGTTCCTTCCTGGGGTCTTTTGGGGTTTCGGGCCTCTTACCTGCACGCCGAAACCCTCTGAACCCTCTCAGCCCAACACAAGGACCGAGCAGGAGCTGGAGAGCTTGACCGGCAGCAAGTGGCAAATGGTGGCTCAGGAGCTGCACCAGGCGCCACAGGATGATGTCGGGATGTGCAACGGCTTCAAGAATGGGGGGTGTTTAGGGGTTGCCCTCAGCCCGAAACCAAAAACCCCGAAATTTTGGGGGGGTTTTGGGGCGGCAGGCTTAGGATTTGAGGTATGTGGACTTGAAAGTGCTCACAGATCTGCAGGGAGGGGGGGGGGGGGGGGGGGGGGGGGAGTTGGACAGTGAAGGTGAAGTGGCGGGAGGCTTCAGGGCTTAAGGGAATGTTAGGGCTTGGGGGTTGGGCTTGTGGGGTTTCGGGTAGGGAGGCAAAGCAACAGGGGTACCGTGGCAGTCTGTTTCGTATGCCCGAGCATGCCAATAGAGGAGTAGTTTAGGGCTCACAAGATCCGAGCCTGGGCTCAACAAATGCTAAGAGGGATGAGTCGGGATGACATCTGCCGTTGGTTATGGATGTGGCGTTGCTCGCTCGCTCGCTTTCTCATTCTCTCTCTCAGTCAGTCTCGCGTCAAATCAGAATGCCCTCAGACCTCATGTCTGTGGCATGGACCATGCCAGTTCCGGTAGTGGACCCATGGTCCGGCTTGAACCAAAGTGCTTTACAGGACATCCTTGCAGAGTACGCTGAACTGGAGGCTGCGGGACACTGTGGGACGGGTGAGGACTTGTTGTCTCAAGGAGTCCCGAATGCCCAGGGTTGTCACTCATGGCTAGCCAGCCAGTTCTTACTTGCCACAATCTGGTAGTTTCAGGGTGGCCACCAGAATTAACGCACTGCTGTGCTCAGTTAACAGACCATGGACGGTGTCGATGTCCCTCCTGCTCTCTGTCGCTCTGTCTGTCCGTCTGTCTGTCTGTCTGTCTGTCTGTCTGTCTGTGTCTGTCTGTGTCTGTCCGTGTCTGTCCGTGTCTGTCCGTGTCTGTCTGTGTCTGTCTGTGTCTGTCCGTGTCTGTCCGTGTCTGTCCGTGTCTGTCTGTGTCTGTCCGTGTCTGTCCGTGTCTGTCCGTGTCTGTCTGTGTCTGTCTGTGTCTGTCTGTGTCTGTCTGGGTCTGTCTGTGTCTGTCTGTGTCTGTCTGTGTCTGTCTGTGTCTGTCTGTGTCTGTCTGTGTCTGTCTGTGTCTGTCTGGGTCTGTCTGTGTCTGTCTGTCTCTGTCTGTGTCTGTCTGTGTCTGTCTGTGTCTGTCTGTGTCTGTCTGTGTCTGTCTGTGTCTGTCTGTGTCTGTCTGTGTCTGTTTGTGTCTGTCTGTCTCTGTCTGTCTGTCTCTGTCTGTCTGTCTCTGTCTGTCCGTCTCTGTCTGTCTGTCTCTGTCTGTCTGTCTCTGTCTGTCTGTCTGTGTGTGTGTGTGTGTGTCTGTCTGTCTGTCAGTCTGTCGGTCTGTCTGTCTGTCTGTCCGTCTGTCTGTCTTTCTCTCTCTCTCTCTCTGTGTCTGTCTCTGTGTCTGTGTGTGTGTGTGTGTGTCTCTGTGTGTGTGTGTGTGTGTGTCTGTCTGTTGCGTCTGTGTCTGTGTGTCTGGGTGTCTGTGTGCGTATGTTTGTGTTTGTGTAATCTGAGTGTTTGTTTGTTAGTTGGTTAGTTTGTTCGTTTGTCTGTTTTGGTTTGTTCGTTTACTTTGTTGCTTGGTTTGTTTTCTTTGTTTTCTCGGGGTCGCGACCTTAACCTGAGCTCAGGAGGTGATTGAGGGCTTCTTGCATGCCCACGACGTCACCCAGGAGAAGTTTCTGTGGGCACACAAGCTGCTCCTGTCAAGGGCCATGACCTTTGTCCGAGAAGGCGGGAGGCTCGCAAAGAAAGTCTCGAGTTCATTCGGTTAGTTTGCCAGGATGGAGCTCCACAGTTAACAGAGAGTAGCAGCAACAGTTCTACCAGTAGCTGTAGCAGTAGCGGTAGCAATGCTATAGCAATTGGAGCAGCAAGAGCAACGGCTGTTGCTACATTAATGCGAGTGCCCTTGAAGATGCTTGGAAGATTCTTGAGGATCCGGAGCGTAGCTTAAGCTGTCAATTTGTTTTGGGCACAAGTAGGACCAGGAGCAAGTTCCTCAATTACGGGGTGTTGGGCTCTCCAGACCCCAAAAACTGGCCAGCAGCCAGCATACGCACGCCTCGAAAAAGGCTCCCCAACTTCTCTGAGCCGTGGGTCAGGTGGATCACGGCTCATCGTCTTGGGTCCGGGACAAGACATGTTCTCTGGAGGCAACGTGAGATAAGAGCAGCGGCAAAGAGTAGAGTGGTACCGTAGCCCTAGGAACCCTTTGTCCCTCAATCCTCAACCCCATGGTTTGCCATTCTGTCCAGTCGAGGATTGGGTTAATTAACCCGATGCGTTTGTTGGCAACTGCGTTCTACGGCTTATTAAATCAAGGGGCCCTACTTTGGACTGCACCTTCGGGTTGAGGAACACTAAAAACTCAGGGCAACCCTTGAGCGCGATGTGTGGCCTGCGATGCAGAACAGCCTCCAGTCGCACAAGCCCAAAAAACCTAAATAGGGTTTAGGGTTTAGGGTTTCGGGTTTAGGGAGGCAAAGATGCCCAGCCGCGAAAAATCAACAGCGTTGGGGGAGGGGGGGGGGGGGACCCTAAAAAACAAACAGTCAACAGTGTAGGGGGGGGGAAGGGGGTAAAACCCTATAAGCCCTTTTAGCCCAAAGAAAAGTCTCTGAGGTTCAACCACAGCTGCGAGGCTGTGGGCGACTCGACATACAGACTGGGTTTACTGGCAATCGAGTTTGTAGCGGTCACAGGGTTTGCAAGGCTTTGGGTATTTCAGCTAAGGGAAAACGCGACCCAAATATCCTGAATTACTACCAGACCTGGCCCTACACCCAAGGATGACCCTAAGCCCTGTTTTTCAAGCCAGACTCTGCGAAACCCCAAACCTTAATAATAATAATAATAATATTAATTAGAATATCATAATACTAATAATCATAATAATAATAATAATAATCAGGTTTGGGGTTTCGCAGAGTCTGGTTTGAAAACACGGTCAAACCTTGGGTGTAGGGTCAGGTCTGGTAGTAGTTCAGGATGTTTGTTTGCGTCATGCTTTTTCCTGGAAGTGCAGGGATTTTGTTTTGCAGCGCTGCCCTGTGATTTTGGATGTGGTTTCTTCTGCTTTGTGTCAGGGCTTGGGTTAGGCCTAAGGCAGATGCGCATAATTGGGCCCATATTCGGGACATTGTAGGGCCTTAGTTAATTGGAATAGACTGTCATGTGTCTCCCTTGTCTTGTGATCAGTTTCAGTTGTGGGGCAGGGGGGGGGGCTTAGCGGCTAACCCACGTTGTGGATGTATCGTCCATGTGCACAGCCTGTATCGAGCCCCGAGCTTTCTCGTCTCTCCCCTTTAGAGAGCTCGTCGGGCGCCATGCCTGCTGTTCCTGGGCGTTTCTCTACCTCGAAGAAGTCCCCTCCATGGACCGGCGACCAGCAGATCAACCCAGGATGGCTTGGCCCACGGGGCTGCCAGCATTACAGCGACCGGTGGATGCATCATTTTAGCGGGCCTACAGACATACCCTTCTCGGATTTCGTTCTGAAGGCTTGTGACAGCTTAGATGCCGATGTGCTTGCTCAGATCGAGTGTGCGTGTGCTTTTGACCTCCTCCCTCACAGGAAGGCAGATAGGCCAGCAGACGCAGTTCTCTTGGCACTCCCCACTTGGGTGCCTTCCTTTGGGGACACCACGGGCAGGAGCAGATTAAGCTCCGTCCTGCGGGCTTTTGCATGTTGGAAGCCGGAGGTGGGGTATCAGCCTGTGCTCGCGCTGCTGGCAGCGCACATCATGTCGGTGGCAGGCAATCAGCGAGTGACCTTTCAGGCTTTGGTGGCCGTGTACCGAAGGTATCGTCTGCAAGACTACTTCCAGGGGGCGGGCACACAGGAAGCAATCAGGCTCGATGCGGCCAAGGTTTGGAATGCAGCATGTGTGCAGTTTCCTGACTTGGCCGACGCGTTTGTCCGCTTCAACCAGACGGAGCTGTTTCATTCCACGGTGTCGTGGCTGCTTTCAACGTTGCTGACTCAGACCTGCCAACCCGGCGCCCAGGCCTTCGAATGTCACGTTCGGCTGCTGGACTGCTTCCTGCTTCCGGCTGGGGATTACGACCGAGAAGATCCTCGAGCACAGCTTCGTCGACTGGTGCTGCACATCATGGCAAGGCATCAGAATGATTTCCTGCAATGCGGCTGCGAGGATGAGCTCACAGCTGCGGCCAAGGATATCCAGCAATTTGTTCGCGTGGACGACGTCCTGATCCAAATGCTGAATGGCCAGCAGGAGATGACCGAGATGCCTGATGGCATGCTGTGGGCAGCGATCATGGCCGGCGTGGGTGCTGCCCTGACCAACGACATGTCAACTGCCTTGGGTTTAGGAGCGCACGTCGCCTTGACCTGTGGTAGTGCTGCCGGCTTCGCCTACGGAGCCTTGAAGGCGGCGGTGCTCACGAACCGAGCTTGGTTTCTTCACGGCCATGACTCGGAGGACTCAAGTGATTCGTACCAGGATGTGTAGCATTCACATCGTGCTTGGAGTGGCTGTGGCTATGGCACCAGGTGCCATAGCAGGTAGTTTGCTTCAAGCTGGCAGTTGCCCGAGATTGGACGTGACGTAGTGTATAGTAATTGGTTGCTATGATGTGCTATGAAAAGCGCTTAAAAGCTGGAAATTCAAAGGCCCTTAAGCTGCACGAGTTCCGCACAGGATGCGTGCGATATGGGCTCTCTCCTGACCGGGGAGGTGATGGAGAGCAAATTTGCACAGACATGTGTAGCTGAAGGCTCGCACGTCAGCTGCAGCTCGAACATGGATCGCTACTGCCGATGCTGGCTTTCCGTGATGCATGCTTTTTGGTATGAGCAGCCGGAATCGGATGAGTTGGATTGCAAGTTTGTCCAACTCGCTGAGCTGGCATGGCCGGCATATGCCGGCATACATCACCGGCTAAACCTTCTAAGAGGAGGATGCAGATTGGCACTGTGCAGTCCAATACACAAGAAGCTCTTGCGGACTTGCAACGTTTCTGCACATGGAGCAGCCGCCTTGCATCCTTAGGAAGTCGGCATTGCACGGATGCACGCGTAGGAAACGGTGCCGGGAAAAGATCGGTGCATGGTTTTGGCACCCGTCGAGTTCTGAATACCTTCTGCTTTATCTTGGTGGGGGACATTGGGTTCTTTCGTCGTGGCCTCACAGCCGTTCCGAACCCGACATTCGCCAGCCTCAGGATATGATGATGTCAAGCTGGAGACTGTTGAGGGCAAGGACATGCTGGTCATCCGTGCCTTCAAGCCTTTCGCCGAGGAGGAGCAGGTATCTGCGACGCTTCGAAGATTCAGTGGCGTGCGGATGTAAGGTTTCGTTGTTTTTTTGGCGGGTGAAAGCAAGTGTCGGCTTGCACAGGCGTTCTACTCGTACTCGCCGGCCTCAAATGGGCGACTGCTTCTGATGGGGGGCTTCGTCGTCTCCGCCTCTGGGCTTGAAATCCCTGGAAATCTCGGTAGGGTTCAGGGCCAAGCCTACAAAATCTGTGGTGTCATAGTTGAGCACAAGGGTGTCTTAGGTCTGCGACCGGTACCAACCTGGATCTTCAGCCCAAGCCAAGTAAAGCTCCTAAGGTCCTAAACCCTTCCTTTGCCGAAAGGATTAAAATTGTTCTTAATTAACCTCCTTTTGGGTCCGTTTCCCGAAATCAGAAGAGGGTCCTCGCACATTTCTGAAAGGCCGCCGCTGGACCCTAAACCGTAGCGCGCACCAAGCCCTAGACCTCCGCCCTCGTTGCGCGCCACCCCAGCCCACCAGAAGCTCTCTACATCTTCAACGGGTGCGGAACCCCCCCCCCCCCTTCCCCCGAAAGCCTGTTTAGGTGTTAGGGTTTAGCGTTCAGCCTTTCAAAAAGGGTCTTGAACTTTCAGCCCTAAACCACTCCTAAACCCTAAGCCCGAGACCCCAAACCCTGCAGTGTGTCCTCCGTGTCAGCTAGGCGGGTGGCCCAACAAAAAGCCCAAACCCTAAACCCTAAACCCCAAACCCTAAACCCCAAACACTATAGCCCTGAACTCAGATGCATGCTCGAGCCCTGCATGCCCAGGACAACCCCTACGACTCGGTGGAGTTGATGCTTCTCGATCTGTTGCTTCAGGTTTAGGGTTTAGGGTTTAGGGTTTAGGGTTTAGGGTTTAGGGTTTAGGGTTTAGGGTTTAGGGTTTAGGGTTTAGGGTTTAGGGTTTAGGGTTTAGGGTTTAGGGTTTAGGGTTTAGGGTGAAGTTGCATGTTTGCCGGCAGCCTCCAAAGTCCGTTGCTCAAAAAGGGTTTAGGGCGCTTCAAAATGGAGAGTTGAAGCCCGAAACCCTAAACCCTAAACCCTCAAGGAGGGGGGGGGGGGGGGGGTCCTGGGGGGGGGGGGGGCTAAAAAGGTTCAGGGTTGCTCGACCCTGATTCCCTCCCCCCCCTTAAAGAAACACAAAAACACATATATGTATATACCATAATACAATGCACTACAATCGTACCAATATACTTCTAGAGGGCGGCCTGTCATGGGGCCTTGCGTTTTCCATGGTGCATGTCTTGTGAATGTTGCGTGCACCCAGCATAGAAGTCGCAAACATTTCGTCGAAGTACCCCATGTCGACGATGTTATTGTGAGTAGCATTGAGAAATCGTAGAGGCTTTCCAAAACATCTGCCTGCCGGAAGGCTAACCTTCCCTGTCAGCCCCGGCTCAGCGCCGCTCTTCCAGCAGCTGGCAGAAGGCAGCTGAGTTGTTTGGGTGGGGGTTCAGGGTTTAGGGTTTAGGGTTTAAGGTTTAGGGTTTAGGGTTTAAGGTTTAGGGTTTAGGGCTTCGGGGGGCTGCTGAGGGCGTGTGTTTTTGAGTTGCAGGCCGGGGTTGGGGTGAGGATGCAGTTAAGTTCCACGGTCGCAAGGTCAGTGCAGGTTACGCGGTAGAGGGATGGCAGACCCATTCGGGGATTAATCCTGTGCCAGAGAGTTAAAAGACTTGGGGCTACGCTGCAAGGACCGCATGTCACAAGTTTCAGCGTTTCACGCGTACCTCAAAGTTTGGGCTCAACCGTCAGCAAACTCCATCACACCGGCACGCAGAAGTCAGAGACAGAGGGAGAGAGATCCAGGGGCGAGCGTGCCCACAACAGTTTCACGCAAACTCGCCTGGGGGCAGTCTAGCGACTCCTGGACCCTCACATCCTACATGAGCAAAAACCTAGATCAAGTGGATACGGGGTGGGGGGAGATATGGGGAGATCATGGGAGGTACCACGATTGAGGTGCAGGGATCGCAAATGACTCTGCAATCAAGCATCTTCGGATGCCTAGTGACCCCCTTGCTCGAACGTCCAAGAAGCGCGAGAGAGAGAGATAGAGAGAGAGAACGAGGCCTCCGAAGTGCCCCGCTCACAACTGGCGCAGCAGTGGTGGAGGCGTGGGTGACTGAACCGGCTTTCTGGTGAAGTTGCAGAGTCGTGAAGGGCTTAGCTGCCACCCAATCACAGCAAGGCAATGTCGGGCTTACGGTGACCCAAACCCTAAACTCGCCTATGTCGCCCAGGTTGCCATAGGCTGTGGGTCAAATTTAGGGCTCAGGGTTCGTGTCAGGAGACGCAGGACGAGTTCTTGCAGCTGCTTCCGCCTGCGCCAGCGCAGCCGGCCCACGCGGCCCTCCACGTCAGGCACCCGGGCGGTGCAGACAGGGCTTTAGGGTTTTTGGGGCTTTTAGGGTTTTTGGGGGCTTTTAAGGTTTCTAGGGTTTTTGGGGCTTAGGGATCCTGATCCTTCATCCGGCCCCTCCCCGCAAGATTCTTCTTCTACACGATGTTTTGCACAGAGACTACCCTTTTTCGTACCGTTCTTGGAAATAGAGAGCAAAATTACTCAGAGGCGGTCTCTATTGTCATCAGGGGAAGAACGGTGAAAGGCACAGCACCGCAGCACCCCAGGAGTTTATTGCTTTAGTGACTCAGCTGAAGCCTTTGGGTCCCGAGGGACCGACATCCCCCGCTAGGCCCTTGAGCTCTGAACCCTAAGACCCTTGGTTTAGGGTTTAGGGTTTAGGGTTTAGGGTTTAGGGTTTAGGGAGCTCTAGCGCACGGGCCTATGTAATGAGAAAGGGTGCTTGGGTAACTGGGGGTATGAGGGGGTTGTGTTGGCAAGTGTTTTTGGGCTCCTGTATGACTTGCCGGAAGGCTGCTTGCCGAAGCACTGTCTGATCAGCTGGAAAGAGTGCTGGCCTTTTTTCGGCCCCCGTGGCTGCAACGAAGTGGGTTTTAGTTTTAAGGCTTTCGGGGTTTAGATTTCAGGGTTTCGGAGGTTCGGATTAGGAGGCTTTGAGATTGACATTTTGAGATGGCACGGGCGTGGGCAACAGGGTTATGAGTTATTGTTGCCTCGAAGATCGAAGACAGGGAGGGGGGGAGGAGGGAGAGGGGGAACCAACAAGACTGGACCAGAGAGGTCATGGGCCAGCGCAGCCAAAGCTCGTCAGAGCCCCGCAGGAAGCGCAGAAGACGAGAGGAAATTACGAGCGTGAGAGAGAGAGAGAGAGAGAGAGAGAGAGAGAGAGAGAGCACCTGTGATGTCCGGGGAGTTGCCGCAGTCCCAAACCCAGACTCAGTAGCTTCAGAGCAGGACAGAAGGTCAAGGCAGTGCTGGCGCGTGGTGAGGGGCTTCGTTGGGGGATCAGGCAGGGTTGCTGTCAGCTTGTTTGCCCATACTCTCAACATATCTTATGTGACTCACCAGACCCTCAGTTTTGTGCCGCAATGGTACTGCGCGCATGGTTTCGGGAACGGCGCGTCGGGGTTACTGGGTTACCGAGGGCTCTCGAGTCTGGAGTTGTGATATCCGGTTGTTTGGGCATAGCTTTCCTTGGGCAGCTTGGCGCCCCACCTTGCATGGACCTCGCGCAAACTCGCGGCACTTGACTTTCTCGACGTCAACAGCCATCACGAGAGAGAGATGGGGAGAGCGCGAGCGAGCGAGATACAAAGCCCTCAAGTTAAGCCTCCCGCAAGCACATGGCGGGTTGTTCCCCATACCCAAGCCAAAACACAAAGAGGCCCTTGTCGTTAGCTGTTGCTACGTGCTCCTCTCTGAGTCTCTCTAGCAGACTACGCATTCCCAAATCTTACAGGTGGGTTCTCGTAGCTAAGTGAGTGTGTGGGTTCTAGGACCCAGCGTGGGCCCTTATTCTCTTGTTGTTGGGTGAACACAATCCAACAAATGAGCACCCGTTTGTTGGTTTTTGTATTATTACATATTCGCTGCATTGAATTCTTTGGTTGCTCTTGGACCTAGTTGTGCATTCATGGCAGGCGTTTTGTCCGCGAAAGTTCCAGCTCATCCAAGGCTTGATGAAGTGAGTCGTGGCATCTTGGCTGTCTGAAGGAAACGGTTTTCCTAAGCACCCTAGGCCAAGAAACCCGGTAGCAAAAGAAGAAGACAGTTGGCCTTTACTGTGCCAATCTGGAACCGGAAATACTGGGTTTACAAGGCTGCTAG